GCCACATATTACACATATTAATGATTTGTTATACAAATTGGCCATATATCATATATATAAGAAACAAATTTATAAGTTAGATATATGTTTTGCAAGTTGGACACATGCCAAAAATCATATAATATATCACAATTTAGCTCCTAATTAGATAGTATATATGAAGACAAAAAAAACTTTTTTATTCTTGTTAATGCCTTTCTTTTCTTAGTCTTGTTTCAAAGATTTCTAGCCTACTTTTCTTTGATAATAGCCATTCTAGTTTCAAAATTATACCATCTTTAAATAAATATATATTATTTTTTAGTGAAACAAGAATATATTGATTTATTAGATCTTTAAGAATTATATACTTGAAATCAAGAGAGTGTAGCATATATAAAAATCCTCAAAAATAATATATTCTTCCTTAAATAAATGTTGAAATAGAATGTATTTGATATTGCGACCTTGGAAGAGACCTCCAATGTTTGTTAATATTATTAGAGGTAGGAACCACCTATATTGGTGTTTCAAATGTTTTATTTGAAAAAAGTTATAAAAGCCTCTACAATGATTAAATATCAAGGTGGTCTTTACACTTTCATATATGAAACTATTGATGGTTGAAAGAACCTATCAACTATCTTTAAAAAAAATCAAAATCAAAATATATAGTGAATATAATTTGTTGCATCTTAGATCCTCCAACTTGTAATCATTGATCTTTGTGGAACTTATCTCTAGAAGAGAGAGTAATATTATGGAGATATATAATTATATATTTAAGAAATATTAAATAGAAAATAAATGTCAATAGATTTGATAGTATCTTAGAAAGAATCTTCTTAAAAGTTTATAAATAAGGATTTGATTTGATTTGTATTTGTAGTTGATTGATAGAGTGAAAACTTAGCAAACAAGTTGGCCACGTGTTGCATATATTGGTGATTTATGGTACAAGTTGGCAATGTTGTGCATGTGTAGAAAAAACTTGTCTTACAAATAAGACCCATATTTTGCAAGTTTCACATGTATTTGAGGTTCTACAAAACATCACCACATAGCTCTTAGTTTGATAGTATATATGGAGGTAAGAAAAAATTCTTCTTCACTCTTATAAACACATTTCTTGTTTTTAGTCTTATTTCAAGACTCTCTAACCTTCTTGTCTTTTGTAGTAGTCATTATAGTTTAAATATTATACTATTTGTGAGTGAATATCTATTCTTTTGAATGACTAAAGAGAGCATTAAGGTTTTTATTGTTTATGATTCATGTCCTTGATAGTTAATTACATTTAATTACTTATTTCTATTAAAAAATATCTATTTAAATTAAAATTTAAATAAATCTATAACAAATATAGATCAAATTATATAAAAATAAAAATAATTAAATTATATATAAAAGAATTATATTAGTGATACAAAGTATTATAATTTATGCATGTAAAGTATTGAAATATCTATGGTTTTATGACTTTACAATATATATATATATATATATATAAGATTCTTATGTGTATCTAAACTCTAACTTCACCTTCTTTGTTAACAATAAAAACCTTAATATACACTTAATACCTTCATTTTGGATGTCCTTTGAATTAATAATATTTTAGATATAACATTACTCCACAAATAATGACATATGATACAAATTCAAAACATAGTATAATAACAATTAGTTGTGATTGGTTTAACTTTTTTACAATCAATGAAAAAACTTTAAGATTTTTATTTATTATACTTATAAAAGAATTTCTTACATTTTATTGTAAGAAAAAAAAATTACTTAAAATTTACTACAAGATTATAAAATCTTATGAGATTTTGACTCTTTTTCACATTATGGACTTTAACATTCATTGAACAATATTATAATACCAAATGATAATCTTATAATAAATCTAAGCATAATAGCTAAGTTTTTAAAACTTGTGCACTATTTGTTTAAGAAATATAGGAAGTTTAAGACCATCATTTGCTAGAGAATGTTTAAAATGTTATATTTTGAATTCTACTTGTATAATTTAAGTAAATGCTAAAATTATAAATTTTTCTTGAATAGTCAAAATGAATTTCTTTTTTGTACAATTTAAAAAACTTTAGAAGTTATTGTCATGATTAAATTATTTTGTTAAGCTACAACCAATTCATGGTTAATTTTTCCACACATATATGTTTCTTAATTTAGTTTAATACAGCCTTAAAATTTGTAAAGAAAATATTCTTTAATTTATGAAGATTAGTCTTTAATATAATAAAAACAAAAATAAAATATAAAAATATGTATTAGCCAAATTTAATGCTTACACAACTAATGGCAAGATCATTCTATTTTATATTTGTTGTAACAAATTTAGAGTATAAATAATGCTCTAAGATATGTTTATAAAAATATTAATGATATTATTATGATTAATAAAATTCTTGAATGTATATATTTAATAAGAATAAAAAATGATCAAAATGTCTAATAAGTTTTTTTTAAGATCTAATACAATTAAATTTCAGATTCCATATATGTATGTATGTATATATATATATATATATATATTTATATTTATATTCAGTATAATAATTAATTTCTTTGTAAGAAATTTCTAAAAATTAATGACAGGATTCATGATTGATTGAATTGTTTGGAAAAAAATACAGATATTATATGCTAATCACATTTAGGATAGTACCTTGTTTACAGATATTTAATTAGAGTGAAAACTGATCTAAATTTTAAATATTTTATTAATTTTTAAAAAATAATTTAAAAATAAAATAAAATAAAATAAAATAACTTGTATTAATTCCTAGTATTTGGACAGTACATATATTTTTTTCAAGAGAATTAAGTATTGAAATGATTATTATTTGTATTTTTAATATATTTCAATAATCCATAAAGAAGAAATTATATTTTTTTAACATATAATAAATAAAATTATCAAATAAATTTTTATTTAAAAGATATCTATAAAAAAATTAAATAATACTATAATTAATATAGTGCATTTTATTTTAAATGTTATATACCTTTGATGTTTTATTCTACAAAATGTATCAATGAAATATTTACACATTAATAACAACAGTATGTATTTTTTGAACTTAATACATTGTGAAAACACTATTTTATAAGAAGAGATTATAAATTATTATGATATATTAGTAATAAAATTACTTTAATTAATTTTTTCCAATGTATATTTAGTTTAGATTAAGTTATAGATCTCTAAAGTTATTTAAGATAAGATGCCTAAATAGAAATTATATGTTTATCATAAAAAGGAATAATTGGATATTTAAATCATTTTAAAAAAATAAAAAATAAAAATTCTATTACAACACATTTTATAAAATAAATATGTCAGATTGAAAATAAAGGTTAGGTGATATTTTTAACCTTTTTATCCTTAAATTGCAAAAGATAGTGATGTAAATCACAAATTATAAAATAATTATTGGTAAAATAGTATTGTAGGATTTATGACCATCAACAAAAATTATAGTTTAATTTTTGAAAAAGATAAATACCATCAAAATAAATATATATAATTATAAAATATATAGAGACATGCAATATATCTAATTTACAACCAAGTAATAAATTTTAATTGAATTAAAAGTATGAAGTTATTTTCAATCTTTAAATTATAAAAAGTACAAAAATTAGTTTGTGTGATTTCTCTTATTATAAAAATCGCATTTTCCAATTGGCTATTGACTTTCTTATTGAAATATATACAACATAAAACCGAAAATACAATTAGAAAATAATTATATAATCAATAAGCCATCAACTTTGACACATACAAAATAATAATAAGAAAAATAAAATAATATTTTTATTTATTTTTATTTTGTAATGATAAATAATTTTATATGATTTTTAAATCATAAACTCTTTTTAAACATATGATATCTTAATGTAAGCTTAATTGTATTTCAATATGTATATAATTTTTTTAAGAAACAAAACAATAATTACAAAGTTTATGTTTTGATTATTGCAAATCTTGTTTAGTCATTTATTGTGAACATTGATGGTTTGAAAGTTATTTTAGAAGAAAAATCCATAACAAAAAGATAAAAATATAATTAGAAAGAGTATTTTTTATTTAAATTAAGTTTATCACACTCTTGTAGATTTGCACAAAGGCAATAAACTAATTTATGTTGGTTTGCTGTAACTCTCCTATTTTATTTGAAAAAATATAACCAAAGAATAAAGTTTCAAAAGATATGTGGTATATTAGAAACTAATTTATTTTTAAAAAAAACAAAATATAATGAACTATAGATAAATTAATCTTTTTGAATCTCTTACAATTTGATCATATTTAACTTAATTTTTAAATTTATGCATCTAAACTGTAAAAAAAATATTTTTTTAAAAAAATAATTTTAAAATTTCACATTCAAATTTAACATCATTTTATAATCTGATGTTGTATACATACATACATACATAATATTTCATTGAATAACATTATACATAGAATTGAAAGAGAAAAAACAAAAGAAAACATTAAAAACTTCCGAAATCAAGGGAGTTTTACTCAACTTCAGTAAAACTCACCAGAAAGGCTCCTGCTTGCCACTATGATAGCCATCACTTAAACACTAAATTTCATCACAAATGAAACTCCAGAATGAAATGTCTGAATTAACTTCACCTTATTTTTCGTTTTAGCATCCATCTCTACATATTCTTCATGCAATCACCACAAGATTATTTCCAAGACCCTAGCAACAACACTCACACAAATATCATCTTGGCGTTATACTTCTCACACGAATCAATCAATTATTTCATTTATTCGCAAGCCATGCGCATAACGAACAGTGTCATGTGGATGGATGATGGAAGGAGCACGAGGCGTTTTTATCATCCTTCCAAAGCATGGTTATGGGTCGAGGTGGGGGGGGGGGCACGGCCATGGGGTGCGAGACCGAGGGCGAGAGAACGAGACGGCGGGGAAGTAGGGAGGAGGGGGGGGGGGGATCCAACATCGCCACCTTATCTAATCAGAGCTCGACTCTGCCAATCAGCCTTACCTCTGCGATGCTGCTGTGCCATGCGTGGCGCCACTCTCCAATCTTATATCCTTACCGGCGCTGCACCGCACTGCAGCATAGTGTGTTCTAGTCTTGCCCTTTGCTCTTCGCTGTGTTCCCCCCTCTCCGCTCTATTCGTCGAAACAATGGCGGCCGCCACTGCATGCGCTTCGACCACCTTCGCCGGGCAGTCTCTGCTCCGGCCTGCCAATGAGCTCGCCCAGAAGGTGGGTTCCAACCAGGCCCGCGTCGTGATGAGGGGCAGCAAGTCCAGCAGCGGCAGCATGTGGTACGTTTTCTTGGTTTTTGACTGGGACATGTGCTATTGGAATAGCGTGTCTCGCATTCTGTGAGCTTGTTGTGTACTTGCCTATCAAGTGCAATAGGCTAAACCTCAGATTTTCATTGGAATGGGGTGCACCGAGTATTTCACCTAATAGCCTTTCCAGGCGTTGTGCTAGCGCCTGCTAATCTTGAGTTATTTTGCAGTTGTCGTTTTGTTTTGTATCATTGGCCACCCTCCGCCGTGTAGGTGGAATGTTTCGAATTCAATGTCACTGTCCACAATTACGAGTGCAGTCTTCTTTTTTCGGTGTTACTGTTGCTATTTCGCGCAGAGGGAATTGTTCGCATCATGTTGACATCGTCGTTCTTAGAGCCGATGTTGACCACCAAAGGAATTTTTTGAGAGCTCTAGTTAATCAATACATGCAATGCTGCAGGTACGGTCCCGACAGGCCCCTGTTCTTGGGTCCTTTCTCCGGTAACACCCCCTCCTACTTGAAGGGCGAGTTCCCTGGTGACTACGGATGGGACACTGCTGGACTCTCCGCCGACCCCGAGTCATTTGCCCGGAACCGTGCTCTTGAGGTACCACTTTTCCTGACATTGATTGAACTACTCACCATTCTCTTGATAACCTACCACTGGGTTAAGGGCTGTGCCCCCACAATTCACCAATATGCGCTGGGTGTAGGGATTGAGTTGTTAAATTGTATGCGCAGTTGATTCATGGAAGATGGGCTATGCTCGGAGCCCTTGGCTGCATCACCCCCGAGCTTCTCCAGAAGTACTCCCGTGTGACTCTCAAGGAGCCAGTATGGTTCAAGGCCGGTGCTCAGATCTTCAGCGATGGTGGTTTGGACTACCTCGGCAACCCCAACCTCATCCACGCTCAGAGCATTCTCGCTGTGTGGGCCGTCCAGGTCGTACTCATGGGCGCAGTTGAGGCATACCGAACCAATGGTCTTCCCGGAGTCGGTGAGGGTGGCGACCTTTACCCCGGAGGCAAGTACTTCGACCCCTTGGGTTTGGCTGACGACCCCGAGACTCTCGCTGAGTTGAAGGTGAAGGAGCTCAAGAACGGCCGTCTGGCTATGTTCTCTATGTTCGGATTCTTTGTCCAAGCCATTGTGACCGGAAAGGGCCCCCTGGAGAACTTGTTGGATCACCTCGCCAACCCTGTTTCCAACAACGCTTGGGCTTTCGCCACCAACTTCACCCCCGGGAACTAGATTAAGTAAGATTGTGGTCGACTAGTATCTGTCCATTGTATGGCTGCGTTGCAAGAAGCTGTAACATAGAGGTAGCCGTTTCTGATGTCCGTGCTGTTTGCTCCTTCATGTAAATGTCGATTTGTCAGGAAAATGGATCCTCATTCCTCCACTTACGCTTTCCCCACAGGCAGATCTGTTATAAAGGTTTCGAATTTAACTAGTCATCATAGTTGATACCTAAATCACAATCAACTATGATGACTATGACGAATTTGATTTTGGTACTCTATCAAGATTCAGTGATTAAATGCCGAGAAATGAGATCTAACTACATCAGCTTTTGAATCAAATATCGTACATCAAATCGTTGATTCTATGACAACAATACGAAGTTGGCAGTCTCAAACGTATCACTGTAAACTATTATCAAATTCAGTTAGACATATCTCAAATCCCTCACAGTTTACTCAAACGCCACCTCTCTCTCACACATGCACAAAATTCCGAATCGCACACTTGCACACCGGAACATATCCCGAATCAGAGTCATGCCTATTTACACTGACTAGGATAGAATTGAAGGACCAATAGCCTGGACAGCTCGAAGTTAAAACTGAAGTACACAGTAATTTCTTTTTGGAAAGAAAAAAGAACGTATACACTTTCAATGGAACAACTCATATCAAAAATAAAGCACATTAAATCAGAACAATTCAAATCAAAATGCAATTCTCTCTGTTGATTCCTTCAAAGTTGTAGCGTTCACGCGACTTTTGTCACGTACAGGCACTGCACATGGGGTTATTTTTCTGCCAAGTCTTCTAGTGAAAATGTAACCTTGGACGTTGAGGATTGCAATTCCCAGATAGTCCTGTTACATTTGTTATCAAGCTGTGCTTTCAAACCCTAGCGAAGTGATCCTTGAGCGTCTCTCTGGTGTGTTCCTCTCATGTGATGTCTGATCATACATGCACTGATAATTTGCACTTCTGTATTCACCTGGGAATGCACGTCACTTAACACCCGAACTTAATTGCTTGCTACTGAGGTGTATTCTTTGATTGCCCTGATAAGTGACATTGGCCACTTCTTTAGACCGGAGGATCCCAGATGTCAAAAGTTTCCACTCTGCTCCATTCGATGGCCCTTCAAGCCACTTACACGGCCATAATTGTCCCATTCTGCCTCGAACCTCGATTGGTGCATTCGAAATATATTGATGTTGCAGCACCCTCTATATCCTTGATCGAGCTGAAGATCATCTTGAAAATGACCTAGATAAAAGTTGTCTCACCCTGCCGAATAAGTGCATACCTAACACTCTCTTCAGTTTGTTACATGGAGCAGGGCGTTCATTAGGAAAAAGAAACAAATCCCTTTTTTGAGTTGCATGCCGGTAAAGACAACCGTCGAAGAAGTATAGAACATTGCCCACTTCTGGTGTACATGAGTTCGGTACTGAGTATATTGACAGGACTCATTCATGCCAGCAGAATGTCGATTCCACCAGAAATTAGAATTGGACATCCGGTCCCTCAAATGAGAAATTACCCAAAGTCGACGAAGGTGTGATTGACACGTCGGCTGAACTGGGAGTCCACGAATAAGTAACCATAATATAAACAAGCATCACTGGCTAGATCACCAGCAGTCCACAACAGTACCGACATGACGAGTAAGAAGGACACAGCATAAGCCTTGAGCATCAGCAATGTCACTTCTCTGCAAGAATCGAACTGGTACCACATTTGTTCCTCCATGAACTTCATCGGGGTATAAGAATGCTATTTACGTCTACCTAGCTTAAATAACTTCCGGGTGCGTCCTGAGTGATGAAGCTGGTACGACGTACCGAGTCTACAAATTATCAGATACTTAACAACCAACCTATCAATAATCGTTTGCAGGGGCAGAAGGCCTGTGAGGAAACAGAACTGCAGTCTCAGGCTCAAAACCGAAGACACCCTCAACTCAGGAGCGGTGAGCACCACGTCCCCCAACTGTGGACCCCAAAAGAGCCAAGCTGAAACTGAAGGAGTTTCGAGATTGCAAGGCGTTGCAACAAGCTGTCAGAGTGTCGGCATAGAATACTGTCACGTTGTTGCTAGTAATATGAGCTCCCTCCGCTGCAACAAACAGAATTCCCGGATAGTCGCAGGCTTGAGAGGCTGATATCTCAACAAGTTGTTTTCCTTGATCGCCCTTTGAACGCTAGAGGAACTACTATGAAAACGTCGCAAACCGAAGTTGTCGAGGTTTGCACTGCGCGCATGTCCACGACAACTCGCAAAGCTGGTCCTGTGACTACGAAGTCTGCAAACACCTACAAACTTTTAACCCCTCATGAAGTGATCGGACAAGAACTGGACATCAAAAGCAAATGATGCATAACGGACAATTGCTTCAAAAGCCCAGCACCTGGTGATTGAATCAGGCTTGCACAGTTTCCTGGAGTGGCCGTTTTTCTCGTCGGCTACGGTACAACGAACTTCGAGATGCTAAACCTGGAGGGTGGCGGGATGGCATAATTTAGCCTCATCCAAGTGGGCGTCGCAGGATTTGTGTGCACGTGGGGCAAGTGTGCGATCTATGTAGATTTGGAAACTCCTGGTGCAGCTCACATGTCACAAGCCAGTTTGTCCAAGTGACCTGCATCGCACTTCCACTTTCACTTCCATGCCGCACCTTCATGGCATTGCATGTTGCTTCCCACCAGTGCCTCGAAGGTCGCCTCCTGCAGCGTGCCTCCGACTGGGTCCTGCCATGTCCAGGCCTTCCTTCCTTCCTTCCTTGTCCATGCCGACTGTTTTTAAAGCATTTGGAGCCCGTTTTCCAGCACTGGACGAGTCAGACATGGAAACTGGGTTTGAGACTTACATTTCGATATGCTTGCTATGATCCATATAAAGTAATTGCATAAACAAACTTACCACGTACTTTTTCAGGAGAAACTGAGGAGTCGTTATCTTTCAAAGTGGTTCTTGTTACAATCATGGAATAGTTGCTATTGGATATTAATGTTTGATGAAACTTCAAAACACCAAAATATGATGTCAATAGAAGGCTACTGTACTGGAAGGAAATTGGGCCATGTGTATTCTTTAACGGATTTATTTTTATCCTATTTCCCTGCTTTGACAAGAAAACCACAACTCATTAAATTTCATTCTAGACCACATGATGGAGTTCACATATCTAAATTACTCTCATCGACGTTTCAACACTGCTAAAAATGTTGAAAATGGCTTAAAGTATTTTTTTAAATTAAGAATTTTACGAGTGAGGATTCTAATTCTTATCCATTTTTATAATCTTTATAGTTTATGCATTTTTTTTACAATATTATTCAAGAATATTTTTTAAAATAACTTTTTGCATCAACTACTTAAATTTCAAGTACATGAGTATGCTAAAATGATGCTATTCATGAAATAGCTGAAATTTAACAAACTAGAAGCAAATATGACACTGGAGGTGAAGAAAAGTTTTCGACATGTTGTGAACGCTTAAACGATTGATTATTGAGTCAAAAAACAAATGATGTTTTTTCATTAACTTTGGACCTATGAAATGCATTTCCTTCCTCCCTCTTACATTAAATAACAAGACACTAAATCAAAGTATGTTTTTTACACTTCGAGATTGAGTCTCTGTGCAATAGAACATCAACAACTTCTCTACCATAAAGAATTATGTATTATGCACCATACATTCGTCTAATTCTACTGTAAAGCGGCTCTTAAGTGTGCTCCTAGATTTCTTGCCAGTTAGTTCAGTTGGCAGTTCACAGCATGTGGGATGAGGAAAAGAACTATATCTATATATATATATATATATATATACATACATACATATACATATAGGTCTCACATCTATTTCACTCAGCTCTGATTCTGTAGCTTGAGGTTTTTGCTCAGTCAAACGTCTGGGAAGAATCACCAGCCGAGATCAGATCGGTACATAGTTCAGATCCGTCTTATATTTCACATCACGTGACAAAACAAAGTACCTGTTCATCTGACTGTGCTGAACCTCGTGGTGCAGCAGTAAAGCTGAAGCGGTGTTGCAGGAGTGCAACAAGCTACTACAGAGAATCAGCAGGTTCGAAGTGCCGCAGAGTAGTCAAGGTGTTGAGCGCATAAGATCTTTCATTGACTTGCGTAACAAGTACCTACATGTCTCAACTTCTACAAGCCTGGTTACCCGCACAATACACCCCATATATTGGATCCACCTCCCTTGGTCCGACGACCGCAGGAATTGACGGCAAAGACCAACTGTAGCCATGTATACTCGTCTCCAACTTGCAGGAGTTGCATTGTTCAAAGCATATAATTGCACGAATCAGCGTCAGAATTATGACCACTGCATGGTCCGGCACTGATCAGTGTTCCATTTGCAGACAACCCACTTGAACGACGAATGCTAGACTGGTCAGCTGCTAATCCAGTTTCTGCGCCGCTATAGTAATACCTGACTTCGCTTGAAGCCTATTTCGCTTCACTTGCGTCAGCGGTATTGCAAGTTGCGAGACTTCTGCGAACTTTCAATCTAATTCAAAACAGTGCCACCAATTATATATTGAATTGGGGTTAGATTTGTTTAAGCTGTACCCACCTCATCAACAGCTTACTGGAGAACGAATTTCGCGTAATTGACGCCTTGTGGACAATTAGGTTGCTCAACAGACCATCTGGAAGCGCTTCAGACTTTCTTCTTGTTTTTTTAAGTCGGCTTGGAATATCATTAAAAATCGCTCACTAGTTACAGACTAACTACCAGGGATGCAAGTGGGCTCTTGTCTAATTTTACTTTCGAAGCTAAAACCGTAAAAATGCGCCATTCCTTTCCAGTCGATTCTTCCCGGTTTCGCAATAGTGTTTAGTGCTTTAGAATATTCTCTGGACCAAATCATTCTTCCTTCGAGCAATTCGAGTGCTATTCTTACTGTATCAAGAGGGCACATTCAATGAACTTCATAGTAGTTGGTAGATCTCAACATAGTCCGCGTTCTATGATCGAGGGATGTACATGTTCGCAGTTCTGTCACATGAGACATCAACCTCTCAAACGATTCTAAACCAGATTCGGATGAGGCCGACCACGACACGAGGCATGTAAAACTTGCGAAGTGATGCTGCCAGATTCTTTCTGTAGCGAAAACTCTGCCAGCACTACATGACTATGTGTACTTAACTTAAACCTAAGGCATTTCCAAAGATCCAAGCAACCATTACTGAGAATCATCAAGCAAGCATTAGATCGTTTGTTCACAAGATGTTTAAAAAGACGAAAACTGTGTTCCTGATATTTTTTGAAGGGTTCGGGGTTGAGGATCAGCTGATTCAGGAGCATCACCGCTGCCACCAGAAGCACCTTCGAATGCATAGCATTACATTTCTGGGCTCTAGAAATACACAACTTTGGGAACTCCTGCAGCAAAAAACTCAACTGTGTGAAGCATGTGGTGCTTGCGTATTGAAGTCTGCATCGCTGAACTGAAGAAAGCCTCTTCTTCTTCTTCTTCTTCTTCTTCTTCTTTGGCATTTGTAAAAGATATTAGTATTCGTCCATTGATTCTGTGAAAATTGCATATTATTTCTATACATTTGTGGAACTAAAAGTTCTTTTAAGTGGTACCCAACTCTGTAAAAACTAGTATCAAAAAGATTGGCTATGAAATCATAACCATATCTGCTGGAACCTTGAGCAGGGTTTACTCCTGCTGGGAGATATATATATATATATATATATATATGATTATTTCCCTTTTTGTATTTAGGATTTGAAAGACATCGGGACAATGCACATGAAAAACTTAATCTGCACATGACTGGTTCATCCACTAGAGTGAGAGCATTATCTTTTTTTATTCCTAAGTACATTAATATATCTTTAAAAAACTAAAACTAGTCATAAAAATAAATAAAAACAAACAGTTGTAATGTTCAAATAATATAATAATTTCGAAGCACTGACTATGTTGTGAAAGTCTAAATTCATTTTTCAATTTATTTAATAATGCTCAACGGTATGAGCTGTGATATATATATATATATATATATATATATTTATCTATTAATTGATGAGTTTTATTAACAGTTAAAATAATTCAAGTTTGAATGATTATAGTTTTTTTATGGTGTTGTAAGTATAGAAATTGAAGCTTAGTTAGCCTAAGTTTTAAATCAATATTTGATTACATACTAAAAATAATCATTGTCAGGCATGTAAATCAACCTCAAATTGCAAAGTTTCAAATTTTGAGTATGATTCTAAATAAATAAAATTATATACGTATATATAAGCCACATTTCTAAGAATATTTTTTTGTCAAAATTTCATTTAAAAAATGCTACTAGTGTAAAAAGGATTAAAATAAATATATAGAAAAGATAAAATATATATACACACTAAATGCAAATCCAATGTTTACCTAATACAAATTACTTATCTATATTTGAAAAATTCATTAAAAATATCACATTGTTATGTACAATAAATAAATTAACATCAAATTCTATCTATTATGTATCGTGTTTTTATTATTTTATTATTTTATTATTTTATTTATTTATTTTATTTTATTTATTTTTGTTATTAAAAATAATTCAATAACCAATTAAGTATTGCATTTATATGTATTATGTAAATTTGCATTAGTAGATACAATGTAAAATCTATGCATAATTTACTTATATATATATATATATATATATATATATTTCTAGATGTTTATAGTGTATATTTTTTAAATTATTATTAAAGTAGTTTTAAAAGCATAAGATTAAGGTTGATTATGATAAGTAATTATTTAATTCACCACTTGCACATTAATTAATAACCAATATACTACTTTAAAAACTGTTTGTTAGAAATACTTTAAAAATAATATCTTTACTAATATAAACTATGGATAAAATTATAAATATGACAAATACATATATATATATATATATATATATATATATATATATTACCAAAATTTAGTGTTTCGTATGCAAAGTGCATATGTCATTAAGTATCAAACATAATTGTTTTTAATAATAATGAAGTAGGAAAAACTAGATTATGAGTTTTTTCCATAGAGCTCAAACTAATGAGTTAAAAAAAAAAAAAAAAAAAAAAAAATACAAATACAAACAAAAATGCTAACAGTAAACAATTCATTATTTATTTATTATTTTTTAGTAAATCTTATGTTTTAAAATAATGAATGTGTTATGAAATATTTTGAAGAAAATTTGAAATTATTACACTTTTAAGCAATAAAATATGTTTCTGTATTCCAAGGCAATTGATTCGTAGGGTGGAGGTAAATTTTGATAGGCTTATTGTACAATACACTTTCTCAATATTCCTTCCAAATCACTATTTAATTTGATAAGACAAAATCTTTTCAAAGATAGACCAAGTATATAATTTATGACATTAATGCTTACCATGTTTTCCAAAAGGATAAAAAAAACATCTTAATCCCATTAAACTAAAACTATCCCTGCACACCAAAAATAAATCAGGAATAGCTATCAGACTTTTGAGTGGGCGTCACGCCTTCTTTGTCCTGAACATTGCACGATATCCACCGTGCTCACAAGCTGGACAACTAGAATTTTCATGTTACAACGATTGTTGGTGCTATCCAAGCTTTTCTTTTACCGCTACTTAGATGGTTGGCAATTCAAAGCTTTACAGCAGAACCAACTGTATCCCAAAGCTTGAGTAAACTTGTACTCCACCAAATTTGCACTTCCTAGAGTTGGAAGGCTTCACCCATATTTGATATCTAGTGCAGTATGGACATCAAGAGCACTCTTCAACAACTATTGCTGTTGTGATGGACGACTGCTTGCTTTTAAGGCACCCGGCAATTGGTCTCAGCCAACTCATGTCCTTTCCTGATAAAAGCACATGAAGAAAGTTACCAATACTCATCACCAAGGCCGCCATGGAGAAAGTGATACTCTGTTGCATATGGCACCCCCACACTGAAGAGAGCGGAAAAGACCGCCACAGCAAGGGCAAACACAAGAAGAAGCCGATATGGATCGATCCCCTCGTTCAAAAGAAGAAATGACTCCATTACGTCATCGTCATTTTCGTCACTCACGTCTTCAACACGAACATTAACTCGCACCAGAGGACAAGTGAGTAGGCCAAAGATCAATCCACTTATTGCTGCTCCCAGATGGGTCCTGCAATACATGCAAAGAAGCTACAATAAAAAATACAAGTATACAGCAACTGAAACACTAAGAAAGGTATAGACGAGGAACACAAAAGTAAGACCAGACTTTGATATTGTCCAAGTTCCTCCAGGCTTACAAAAAGAAATTTATTAGTTCATTACCTCCACTAAACCAGGTGGAGACTGGAGAGACCTACTTACCAATCGTCAACAGGGAAAGAGTTACATAATGCATAAGTGATAGCAGTAAAGATGACCACTTTCCGAATTATTTCACCAGCTACATCCAGACCAATAATATCTCGGTTGCGTAGTATATAGACCACCCAAGCAGCCATTAAGGCAAAAATAGGACCCTGTCCAAACCAACAACACAACCAGATAGACGACATCGTTCAGAAAGGAAGCAAAGGATATAGGTGCAAAGAGCTGAAAATTAAAACGGGTAAGTTGCTTTCACTTTATCCGGATCTCTTCGATCCTCCAAAAAAAACAAGATTCATCTCTCGTATCGATAGCCAGACTTCAAGTAGACACACATAGCTAGATCGAAGAAAATAGTGAGAATCTACACATGCAGACTACAACGAGGCTGAAGTAAAAACAACTTACAGAGCCGCCAACGGTGCCTTGAGGCGTGTGGAAGAAGCTCAAAAGATTACCATACAAACCGCCTAGTAGATATATCGCGGAAAATCCTAAAGTGCCAAAAGCACTTCCAACTGCTGGTCCAAATTCTAGCAACGCCCACGTGCTCAAACCTAAGTGCAAAAAGCCTGAATGCTGCATTCTCACCAAAATTTCGAAAAATCAAAAAAGATTTTAAAAATTGAGGAAAATATTGATTCATCCAGGATATAACTCTCGTCCAAAATCCTGAAAGCAGTGTCTAAAGCGTAACAACAAGCAGGTTACCTCTCTCTGAACTGTCAACATGACCTCTAATCTCTTGTCCACTCCGCAAATGAAATGTTAAGAGATAGTGAACACTACGATTCTACTTGAACATAACAATAAGTCTTTCAAAGTAATATGCTCCTAATAATCTGCTTCAAAAGAATAAATTAAAACATTAGTGCAAGTAATGTGCATATGGGTAAGTTAAAACAAAAACAGGGCGGCGACAATACTAACCAGAAACGTTGGGGTAATTAGACGCCACCACTCTCCATTTACAATCAACTCGTTAACTTTCGCTCCATACAGGTAAGGAAGAGAGGCATCTACCATACCGGGCACCTCTTGTGGACTAGCCAAACCAAATAAGTATACTGCAACATTTAAAGCTACCAAGCCATTCCTGCAGGTACAAATGAATTTACATGAAGATCCTGTGCTTCAATTACCACGCTCAACTTGTAAGACAGAGATTCATCCTTTCATGCATCTGAACTAACACACAAGGAAGGCTATTTAAAAGCCTATAAAGAGTACAGAGCGTTGAGTACGCGGTAAGTTTTCCCACAGTAACTTGACGTTGTGGAAGAAACCATCACATGGTCAATCGACAACAAACACATAGTACAACTAAAAAGAGACCAGTAAAACGATTTTAGAACTCACACAACATAAGAATTCGAATTGGCAGATTGCAAGCCCCAAGAGGATTCCTGCATGAAGTTGTCATCGTCTGCGGACAAAAGTTTTCCCGACTCCACTTGTTGCTGAAGGGCCTTCTCCAACTCTTCCATAAATTCTCTATATTCTGCTTCCTCCTCCTCCCCTACAGTGATGTCCAACTCACTAACAACCTTGATACTTACTTCTTTCTCGTCTTTGCCTATGGTCGGTTTGTCCTCTTCCACTACATTCTTTGTATTCTCGTAGGAGGTTGAAGCTGCAAATACGAGATATGCCACTCAGCACATTTTAGAGATAGGTTCGTTTTATCCATTCCAAATCAGAGGAAAAAAATAAATAGATAAATGATTTGGCAAGTGAATTAAGACCTTTCAGTAATGATAAGAAAGTAAAGGTCTTAAGCATGTTGAAAAACAACTTTCGGTTAGTTGAGGCATCCAACTACCACTGGTAGAATGCAACCGCAACCAACAGAGACTTACTTTTTTCAGATTCACGGGGCCGTAGCTTGTCGAAGTATGCATCCAGTGCATTGAGTCCACCTGCACTATTTTTATCATCACTTTCTACACGATCCTTCACCACGTTTCTTGCACCGAAATCTTGAGAAGTCTGACTGCCCATAACTGGCCCGCTACTGCCGGTTTTGGATTGCGACACAGCTGCGGAAGCCCCATTTACTGTTCCTTGCGAATATGGTGTAGAGCTTGAGGGTTCTTCTCCTCTACTCGCATGGAGTTTGTCAAAGTAGGCATCCAGTGCACTCAAACTCTTCTTAACAGCCCATTCATCTGTCTCTGCAACATCCTCTTTGACTTCGATTGTAGAATTTACAGTTTCTTCCTCAACCGACCTGTCATCCAACTGTTCCGTTCGACTTGTTTGCAGACAATTCACAGGACCTGCAGGTAGTATTTGCCTCCTCCTGCTGTATGCACTGCGATACGTCAGACCTTCCGGGTCCGGCTGGGGGAACCTCAGACGATGTGCCCCACGAGTAACCCTTCGTTTTCTCACTTCAAAACTAATAATTTGCTCAGTCTGAGAGCCCAAGCTGTGATCATCCCTAAAGACTCTACAGGAAAAGTCCTTCAAATTGCTATTAGAATCAATAAACTGATGTGGAGGTTGAAGCTGTCGAATGTGACTAAAGAGCACAGCCTGCATGCCATGCACCAGGGCCATAGTTTCTGCACACGAATTGCACCAATTATCAGATCCTTAAGATTTGAGGATCATCTTTTCCAACCTTGCATCCTTCATAGTCGAAAGTTTAGTGGCGAGCGGGTCCGCATGCCCCGAATGCCTCTATAGCCATACCAGAGAAAAGCGATTCCAGCTATCTGCCACATCATGACAAACCATGCATGTATGGTCAAAATTCTTCCCATTGCTGAGTATTCAGCAACCGTGTGGCCAGACACCACCCAACAAGACGTAGACTACCTGGGTAATACCATAACATTTAGACGAATATCGAGTACGCATACCGACGTCCACCACGAAAGTCCGAATTCCGGACTAAACAAGGTAGTGATGGAAATGTAGAATTTATAGCTAAACATTTACATGAAAGGGAAAACGACTCTCTCACTCACATGCAAAAATCGGCGTAGTCTTGAAAAATTAGAAATTAGAGAATCTCGAGCGAGGAAGAAATGCAATAGCAGAGCCCAATTGTCAAAAATGCATCCTCAAAGAAAAGAGGAAAGTTTGAAACAATACAGTCCAGCTCAAAATCACACCACAGATCACCAACGCGGCGCCATACCTCTTTTGCTATGGAAAACAAAACGACAACCCCATAACCAGCATAGAGGACGTCATCTGCTGCGGCGACCTAAGCAGAACAGAGTAAAACTGGAAAAAGAAAAAATGCGAGGTCTCACTACGGGTTTAGAACAGGACGGACCATCAACCAGAACAGCCGAAATCCAATCCAGGGACCGAATTCTGCAAAATGTTGCAACCCACCTAAAGCATAATTCGCCTGAGTTACCATCTACAGTCTAATATCATATCCTGGCTTGTGCAATCTTGTGTCATAGTCACCACTCTTTGAGCTTCTGGATGAATGCTGAAGCTGGAAATGAGGATTTACTAAATTTTGCCGATTCATTTGATGAATGTGGTGATGAATGAGCTGGTTGGCTGCTTTTGCTTCTGGGTTCACCCATTGTCTGACAGAAAAGTATCACACCAGGGCGATATTTAGCTCGAGAGGTCAAGGCCTATCACCGTGTCGCTGATGAGTGAGCTTTTCCGAGGCTGTGTTTCTTGTGGCGCATCAGTTACTCACGCATGTCTGATGGTGACTCCTCTAAACAAGACCCCAATTGTGCTTGTGCTTCAGCGACGCAACCAATATTCCATGTGGCTTAGAATGGGGAAGAGGATAACAAGTATGGGCGTGTGGGCCCACTGTGCCCAGGTTCATTGGTGAAGGCATTTATGCACTTGTCATCAGGATAAGGGAAGAAGTCTTTCAAAATAAAAAACTTCCATCGACAGCCTATTCTCGAAATCTTGTTGGTTTCGTGCGTAGCCAGCTGCGGGGTCCATCCACTTTACGTAGCGGACTGTCTACTGGACGTGTGGAGAGTTTGTTGCATTTGGTCTCCGAAGAGTCCCTGGAGTTTAAAGTGGTGGAAATTCTTCAAGGTTGCGATCCCGAAGATGATGGGTGTTGAATCCAGCAACAGAAGCCGAATCCCCTCCCCGCCCATTGGTAGGCCATGAGTCCCTCACGAAATTGAACATTGTTTTCAACCGACGTTACTTTCCTCTCTACTTTGCTATATGTAAAAATTCATGTAGAGTGAACTTGAATAATCTTCTGAAGTGATTGATTAGATGACCCAATTTTCTGGGGCATCTGACCATACTGCGATGTAAAATTTGTGGGGAGGTGATGGTGTTGACCCCAGCGAAGAGAAAACTGGTTTTCAAATTACTAAAATCTACGCCACAAGTTTTATACCACTGAAGAAAAAGCACGAAACAAATTCGCCGCGAGAAAAAAATGAAAATAAATTCAGTCACAACGAGTTCTTAACTTCTTAACTGGAAGTTTACTTTTGATACTTTTAAGAGAAACTATTTAGATCGATTCTTGAGGTATCTATTTTTTATGTCTTGAAAAATTAAGAAGCTTAATGACAATGAAACTCATCGCATCGCATCCACAATCGCCGACATAATCTCTTTGACTTGACAAATGGGGAGAAGTGGCTGATATTGAAAGCCTTGCTCAGCCTTCGGAGGTCGACGAGCTTGCATAGATCGCCGATTTGTCGCTCCATCATGAAAGCAAACCTGATATCCTTCATCAAAACTCTGTACAAAAGTACAATTAATCACACGATCCAAACAAGAATCTCATATGTGACACACACACACATACACATCATTCCAGAGGGCTGTTGTCGTCACAGTTGTTTAAGGGCGTGCTGCAGCCTCCCTTGAACACCGTCACAGAACCATTTCAAGGGGTGACAGTTTTGATGGTGGGCTTCATTTAATAGATCTCCGCCTGCGCTCCATCTCTACTGCTATTTTTCTCGCCTATCACCACGTCACCTTGATTTGAAACATAGCACCAATGAGATTAATTGCAGAGTTATTGAACCGACCTGGGTCTAGTTTGGAAGTATGAAGAGCTTGTGGGCTCCATTGAATTAAAGAATTCGCATTGTTACACTCAATCTCATACCTGTAACGACTCCTGCCGCCTCTTACAATCCCTGGAGAGAAAGAAGACATCTCTATTGGAGTCATAAAGCACCCTTAAATAAGCAGAAATTCCCACTTCTATACTCATATTCACAGCAATTTGAGTACTGTCTTGAATCAGATAAGTAAGCTTCTTGATGCTTTCAAGTCATGATTCATCTGTCTAGATGATCCGTAGTCAGGCAATTCCGAGGGTAAATGAACCATCTTAAGGGCCTTCAACAGTGCAAGATCACATTAGATTACATCGGGGGCCTCAATCTCTCACGATCCAATCTCTTTCCTGACAGCACCCATGATCTTGTCCTTAGCGTTCTTAGCAGCATTCTCTCCTGTTCTGCTTGCCATAATAGGCAGTTGCTAACCGAAAACTTTAATTAATTAGTTTAAAACAAATGAAACAGTAGATGACTGAAGATGAACATGAACTCTCAAAGCCACTGGGTTGCCCACACCACTCCTTCCAGAAAACAAAAATAGCTGTAAAGCAGAAAAATAACACAGAAAATCCGACTTGGTATAGCAGAGAATCTGCTGCATCCATCCCACTACTGAACTGTCGGATTATGCTCCTTTCCTTCTGCAACACTAAAGTTACAAGCATAGCACACGAAGACCCAATTCTTTTAGCAAGCGTAATACGCAACTATGGATCAGACACATGAGCATGGAGACCCAAATTGTCTACTGTCCAATAAACCAGGTTCAGCAATTTCCACCCCAATCAAGTGCAGGAAGAGAGAGGTCGCAGTAAATCTGCAACAGTGAATCTAATTAAAAAGTTTGAAAAGGTTGAGCTCGGAATGTAACTGCTCTGAGAGAAAAGACAGTGCCTAAAAGGCTACCTCAAGATGATTGTCCTGCATCGAATTTAACCACTAGTCCCGCACTATCATGTCAGACGTGTCTCCCTCTCTATCCTTCTCGATTCTCCTCCCTGCACTTCCTTGCAGCAAAGCGTGCTTGCTTCGCATCACTTACACACGCACACAGGTTGATGCAAACTATACGCAGAGCCATCGCACACTAGCACAACTTCACTCCCACAAACATCAACTTAAATGTGACAACAGTCGCCAGAATCTCGTCACCCAGCTCATCGTGACAGCAAATAATACTTGCAACAAGAGGCCTCACCACCGACACTGCCAACAGTTTGACTGTATCACCCCAAGAACACGTGATGCAAAACGGTAATGGTACGACCATGTCCTGGAAACGAAAATGAGGATTTCGGAATGCTACAGAATCAGCAGCAGCAGCAGCACTGTCCCGCTTCCCATCACGAAAAAGCTGCTCCATTATGGAACCGGGATGGCTGGGAAGAGATGTGCAATGTGATGTGGGGAGCGGCATTATTGGGGCATGATGCGGCGGTCTCTCATGCTGGGTACTGTGGGGGGCATTCAGGTGAGGGCGATGCCATTGAATCAGCTTGCACTCTCACCGTATCCGTTGCAAGCGCAGCAACATCAGCACCGCCTGCATCTACTCATTCATTGCGTCAAAATCACTCACTCTCTTTCTGTCTTTCGCTCTCTCTCTCTCTGGGCGTCTGTTTGTCTGTGTAAGTGTGTGCGCACAGGATTTGAACTGTTTCTGCAGGATGTGAACTGTTGGTCGGTAAAACAATTGGAGTGGGACGGCAAATTAAGCAAAAGCCGCATCATGCCTAATCACCAGTTTATCTCCTCCACTTCCACACTTCAGAATCACTCACTGTCTGTCTGTCTGTCTGTCTCTCTCTCGCTCGATCTCTCTCTGGCTGTCTGCGTATTTGTATGCTCTGTGTTTACCACTTTTCATCATCCATTTCGAACTGTTGTCTTGTCATGAGTTTTCTGCAGCCTCTTGTCATTCATTAGCGTTGCAAGTATTGTTCTTCTGAGTTTTTTTTTTGACGATGTGGTTTTAATGTCTGTTGCTGATGGTTGTGTGAGTGATATGAGTTGATGCTCCAAAAAGAATGATGCAACACTAGTATTCAAAAGCAAGAGCATGAGTCGAAGCACAGACTAGATGGAGAAGAGCAGTACACAATATCGGAATGATTGTGTTAAAATATTAAAAAATTTAATTTGCAAAATCCGCATGGTTTATGACATTGTTTGACAAAATTCTAGGAGAATTTAATTTAACCATTACCTGGACTTGTTTTTCTCAAGGTTCCATAAAAACAGTCCAAACTTTTATTTGTTTAAATGTAGAGAAAGATTGTGTGGTTCTTCTTGAAAAATCTACATTATTTGTAATGACATTTACAAAAAGCATTTGAAGAACAAGTATCTACAGCAAATTATAGGTGAAAATTTGAACATTGAAGTTTATAAAGATATATATATATATATATATATATATATACATACATACTTTTATACATAGCTTCTCAAATCAAACTAATTAAATCAAAATCATATTAATTTATATAAATAAATCAATAAAATAATTATATTTCTATATAAAATATATATATATATATATATATATTTTATAATAAATACCATTATATATATACATATATATATAGCCTAAAAACTATATGTAGTTTATTTTTTAGATTTTACGTGATTAATTTTAATAATTGTGAATGTCAAGGTATGGTGGAGCTTATGATAAAGCTGTATTAAATCTAAGATTTTGTATTTCACTATTGCAAAGGTGGACATGCAAGTGCAGCTTTGGCCACATTATAGGATTAAACCTCTAATATAATAGCTGAGACTTAGTACACAAATTTGAGAATTTATTTATTTATTTATTTGATTAAAAATAGCAATATATATTACAAAAGAATATAAAAGAGTGAATAATTCTAATTTAAAGGACTTAAGCAAAAGCCTAATATGCTTAGAAATAAATTAGTTCTTTGCATAGATCTCATAGAAGTGAATAAAATGCTTAGTTCTTATAGCATTCTTAGAATCAAGAATAAATCATACTCTATCAAATCCTTGCCAAGTACATCTCTCTCTAATAGTCTTCCTAAAAGCTACATTATACTACTAATTTGTATTGCATTACAAGAAATATTCATCTATAAAGATATAATAAGCAAAGACATTATTAGATTATTTCAAATATATATTTTATTATTAGGTAATAAAATAAAGTCAATTTATAACTATAGAAGCAAGAATTAAATAAATACAATTGATTGTGTCTAAATTGATAAATATTTTGGTTAAAAATATTTATATTTATATTTAAATATTAATTTTGATATGCATATCTATGATCTTATATGAAAAT